ATTATTATTATTATTATTATTATTATTATTATTTAATATTATTATTATTATTATTATTATTATTTATTATTATTATTATTTCTGATCCAACCTTCCATCTCAGTAAACCTTGACGGGGGCCCTCCCAGTCTCCAGATGAACCCCTACTCCTCACTGAGTGGCCCGGGATATGACTATGAGACTTCACATAAATTTAATTACTTGCCAATCCAAACTTCTTTTTTTCTACACACCCTACCTACCCTGGCACTGCCACTGCTCTCTGATGATTTCTGCTAGATTCAATTTAATTCTTTCATATTGCCAGTGGGCCATCCACACAACATAATTACATGACAGAAATAAATCATGACAGAAAACAAGTGACAATGTAATATTGTCTACTAGAACGTCACTCCAATAATGCCTTATGGCCAGTATACCCCACCCTACTAAAGTATACATCGCTGGTAGGAACATTCCACAAAGGACCTTATGACCTGCATACCCCACCAAATATGATTGCTTTAATTACTATTTTACATTATTTGTATCACAATTTCTCTTAATTATATTGATTTATAGTCATTGAATGTTGATGTTAAATAACTTTTATTTCAATTCATATGAAATATATTCATACAAAAAATATTGCAATTTGCATAACATGATACAAACAATTAAAAAAATTGAAGTAATTACTGAATAAAAAAATAATAAATACTTCTCCCGAGGTTACATCCTTAATAGTGATGAACCGGGCGAGAGAGAATCAAGCAGAAAAGAATTACTTTTGTTTGTATTCCTACCAACTCATTCAGTTTAATTGTATTATTGTGCACTAATATTTTATATTATTAATGTTTAAAAATTAAGAATAAGAGTGGATTTCCTTTGAATGTTGATTAATATGATCATATGACTGTCATTTATTGAGTCACTCTCTTTGTTTCCAATGTGTTACAGTGGCAAGAGACTCCACTTCACAAGCTGTTAAAAGCCAAACATATATTCAGAGATCATCTTGACATTGCAAGACTTCTTTTGGATGCTGGGGCTGATGTACATATAGAGAATAAGGTAAAATATACAAATATATAGTGGAGTAAATAATGTCATTCAAATTTGTATAAATATGTATGTATGTCACATGATTGCTGCTATTAGATAAGAAATCCAATACCTATGTTGGTGTAATTTGTATTTTGGAGATTTCCCTACAGTATAAACAGCAATATTAATAACATATTATTATTATTATATTGTATCTGTTTGTTGTTTTCAATGTTTATCATATATTGAATAGCCTTTTTACTCTCTTTCCATGTCTATCATTGTATGCAGCAGGGAAAAAGAATTTAATTCATCACATGTTCGTTTAATGATAATAAAGCAATCTTGAACTATTTTATTAAATGAAGGTGATTGAAGTTACATTGGTGATGTGGAAGATGAAAATAAGAACAATTCAAAAAACAATTTAAAAAAATTGCTTACAGCTTGAGCAGTGGCTGATCTAGGATTACACAATGGAGGATGGCTAGGTAGTGTAAATGGGTTGTTCAAGGAGGCCTCCCCAGAATTTTTTTTGTTGTGGCTCAGAAATGCACTTTCCACATTCTGAGAGGTCTGTTAATGATGCATGAAGTCTCATCAAATAAGCATAAAATAATACTGTACTTTTCTGTTGACGGATCATATCAAAAAGACCAGATGAAATTATTTAATCATTTCAGGATAATGATTACATACTGTAAACAGCAGCAGTTTCAGTAATGGAGCTTAATACCTGTATGAGAATAGAGAGTCGATCAGGGGTGGCACCAGCGGGGGAGGCCAGGCCCCTACCCCCGTCGGGAGGGCTGGGCCTCCACCCCTGTCGGGGAGAAAAAGCACAGTTCATCGTGGAGGAAAAAAATTATATGTATTTTCTACTTATTTGTGGACTCTAAATCGATTAAATAAGCCTTTGAAACCCCTAAATTGTCAAAGTTTTTCTTGGGCCTTCGTCTCCTGGAGCACTTTCGAAACCTTTTAATCGAAGCTTGACATGCCTACTTTGCTTTCGTCTGTATAATCTAACCCCTCTTCAGGGCATCAACCCCCCCCCCCATCGGGGAACTCTACTCCCTGTCGGGCAAATCCTGGCGCCACCCCTGGAGTCGATGTCTCGGGTGAACAGTGAAAACTGCCCCTCCCCTGACGGTTTTTACCGGGCCGACCAAGTCGTCGTACCGGGCTGGGTAATAAGAGAAAGGAAAGAGGGAAGAGGGAGGGAAAGAGAAAGAAGAGGAAAAGAAAAGGAAAGAAAAAGAGAAGAGAAAAATAAAGACAAGAATAAAAAGGAAGCTATCATAATGACCAGACTCACAACACCCATGCAACCCCTTCTCCACTTCAAAAACTGTCATAACTCCTTTGATCTATGCTGCCTGATGGCATAACCACTGGGGGACAAGGAGAAAATATCTATCTTTGAAAATTCTTCCCCACCCCCCCTTTATAAATGCCCTTTCATCCCCTGAAAGTGCCTAAAATTCCAACGAATTTCCTCTATAAATTGCACATTTTAGATAGTTTTCATTAATTTCGACGAAATTAGAATTAAAAACACAAAAATATTTTGCGCGCTTGGCACGCATTTTTTACGGCTTTTTTTAGTTTTATTCTTTTAAGTTTTTTAAACACATAATAGTCCCAAACTCAAGAAAGACAAATTTAAGATAGATCATTTTAACCTAAAAGAAGGGCCTCAATGTGTATAGATGGTGAAGAATGTGTTTGTAATAAATACAACCATGATGAAAATGCTTATATTTAGTTTCAAACTATATTCAAATTATTATTATTATGTTGTGATGATGTTGTTTGTATGTTCTTTAATTTTATTAAAGAGGGCCCCTGAATGTCAGTTAACCTACTGGGCTAAACTAGAAGGGTTACCCTCTTTAAAGATGGTTGAAATAAAAAATTTAAAAAAAATATACCCACTCTGTCCCAAGACCCCTGTTACGCGCCTGGTGTTAGCGCCAATGTGTGCCCTTGTGTGGACAGGAGATGTGCCCCCCCCCCTGAAGCTGGTAACCTTGTTTTTGCAAAATAAATTGATGCAATTTGCTGTTATAGGCCTAATCAATAAATTTAAGATAGATCATTTTAACCTAAAAGAAGGGCCTCAATGTGTATAGATGGTGAAAGAATGTGTTTGTAATAAATATGTACAACCATGATGAAAAATGAAGAAAATGCTTATATTTAGTTTCAAACACACGTGTGTGGCCTATATTATAAATAAGATAAGCCTATGTCGTATTGTTTTCTATATGGGGAGTGGGGTGGGCTGGGTATGGTAAATTACTAACCGGGAAATGAGGATTGTATGTTATTATTATTATCATTATTATTATTGTTGTTGTAGAAGGGTTACCTTCTTTAAAGATGGTTGAAATAAAAAATTAAAAAAAATATACCCACTCTGACCCAAGACCCCTGTTACGCGCCTGGTGTTAGCGCCAATGTGTGCCCTTGTGCGGACAGGAGATGTGCCCCCCTCTGAAGCTGGAAACCTTGTTTTTGCAAAATAAATTGATGCAATTTGCTGTTATAGGCCTAATCAATAAATTCCTCATCAACCGATATAACCTTTAAAACATTCTTGGAATAGATATAACATTACTGATGTCGTACACACCCTTCAGTGTGAAATGTGGCTCTCTTTGCAAGCACATCTAACATCTAAGGAAAGAAGAGCTTAGATTGGTACCAGATAAAATAATTTTGTTATCAACATTAACACATTATGCTAATTTTCATCTTTGTAAGCGCATAAGACAGTGCAAATTATTTCTGTGACAGTCTTTTGAAGTGTGTAAAGCTCCATTTTATCCCATACATAGTCAAAATATTGGGGGGATGATTCAATGGACCAAATATGGATGGACAAATATTGGGGGGATATATCCCCTCCATCCTCCCCCGGGATCTACGCCTATGCGGGTGAGTGAGGGTGTGAATGAGATGAGCTTAATTGTAGGTTATTTGGTAAAATGTAAACCACTCCATCAAAGCATCTTGACTTTAGAAATGTTATCTTTGTTTCTAATACAGTGCTTGAAATATAGCTCTTGCCCTAGTCTAGTCATTTTTGGGTTGGTTTTTGGTTAGCTATGCTAATCACCCCTCCCCATCCCTAGATGCACCCTTGCTTAAGTTATTAAATAGTACTTCTTGATTGATCAACAAAGAATCTGAAGACCACTGGTACAGAAATTTTTTATTAGCACAACAGAACGATCGTGCTTTTAAAGGGAATGGTCTTACCTGCATTCCAATTAAATAGTGTGATTGGATCTTTGCAAGGTATAAAAGAAAATTGCACTGATATTTACATATAGTATTTATTTTTTATACTTCTTGTGATTTCTTTTTGTGATATTTTTTATGAAGAATTTTGTAAATTGCTTTAAAGTGATTGATATTGATTTGTTTTAAGCTTTATGATGTGATTTTTGTTACAGGAAAATAAGACTCCAGTGGACCTCTATATGAATAATGAGTGTGAGGAGTATGATTCGACAAATAGAGAAAAACACAAGGAAGAAGTCTTGCAACTTTTACAAGGTAAGCAGTTCCTACAATTTTATCATTCATTTTATTAGATAATGAAAGTAGGAGCCATATTAATCTATAGCATGAAATACAAATAAATTGAGTACAGAGCACCTTCTTTAGACTAACAAATTTATTGAGACACAAGCTTTCGCTAGCTTGAGCTACAGTAGCTTCATCAGGTGACTAAAGTGAAAAGCACAGGATCAAACTGAACACTCAAATTATTGTTTACAGTATTAGGTTGTTCAATGTAATTTTATTTACTGTTGTATTAATTGGATAATAATTTGTTATTATCCATTGTAAACATAAATTTCTTGCAGTCAAGCTCATTGTACATCACAATTTACTTTTTGTGCATCATCATCAATCCCAAGTACCTGCTTTGTTATTATATCACCAGAGTTTTGTTGCACTGGAAAATTATGCTAATACCATTATTTGCTTTCTTTCAAATGTTGTTAATATTAATTAATAAAATATTCATGATGATGATTATGACGATGGTGGCTGTGGTGGTGATGACAGTGATGATGGGGATAATATTTTACGAAAATATTAGTTAAGTCATCTGGTGTTTTTAAATTATTTCACAATATCTAATTATATTTTTTCAATTTTAGTTACAATTCTATTTGAAATTTTATAATAATGAAGCATTTTCCACATGATTGTGTTTTCTTTATTATTTTTTATTTTTTTAAAAGAATTTTATTTGTACTTAAGCAACATATTTGATAATTTCTCTATACTTTGTCGATAATTGATAAACAGCATTAACTTCAATCTTGCCTATGTAAATTAGGGACTGCAGTCCCAGAAGTAATTATGGCTAGAGGAGAAGCAGCTCTGAAGGTTTTTAATGAGGAGTTGGAAGATGGAAAAATAACTGTAAACCACGCACGATTAATGGTGACTGGAAAGGAAGGCGTAGGAAAAACGTGTTTGGTAAACACTCTGCTTGAAAAACCGTAAGTTTCTGAAGTATCCGTCAATGTATTTTGGTATAAATGTTGCCATAGTACTCTTCTTTTTTAATACACTAAAATATTATAATACTTCATGTTCTTTTTATGTATATTAAAATACATTATGATGGCCACAAAACTGGGTTATTCTCTGGCCAGGACCTAGAGGAAAACATTTATTGTTTCAAACTTGCATGTACAAATTTTCATTTGTCATACATCTTCTCCATGTAAGCCACAGCCCAATCAACAATAAATCAATCAATCTCAAATTTATATGAAATCTATAATCCATACGAAGACACTTGCAATGACCTCCTCAAAATCCACCATTGCACTTATACTACAAATATCCGCTTAATAACATACACAATTTATAATGCTAAATTGTGTTAGACTGTTATTTCCACAGATTTAATGAAGCAGAACCATCAACCGATGGCATTGTTTTGACTACTGCTTTCCAAACTACTGATGTTGGTTGTAAGTGGAAAGAAACTGTGGACATGGATGGTAAGACAAGAAACAATATAACTTTAAATCCTTGTTATTTATTATGACTTGTTATAATGTTATTTGTTGTGACTTGAGCTTTGATGAATTTCACTGTTATTTTAAATCTTTATAGAGTGTGAACGGATTAAGCTGATATATGATAATGAATTAGACGGTAGAGTTGCTGAGAAATTAAAACTGAAAGGTAGTCAAACAGAGGGAGTTGAATCGACACCTCAACCAGCACTAGAACCAGCACCTCAACCAGAACCTTCACCTCTACCAGCACCAGAACCAGCACCTCAACCAACACCAGAACCAGCACCTCAACCAACACCAGAACCAGCACCTCAACCAGCACCAGAACCAGCACCTCAACCCGCATCTCTACCAGCACCAGCACACATGCCTAAAACAATGAGAACCCAGAAATTAATTAGGCGTGTGTTCTCTCCATTCAGCAAAAAAAGGAGAAAAGGAAAATCATCTACCACACTAGAGGTAAGACAACACGAGGCTGTATGTGTTTTTCACACATCATGAAACAAACTTAACTATAAAATGTGCAACTAATTTATTTTCATTTTTTTTTTATTTCAACAATATTTTACGAGGGTGGTCCATCCAGTTGGAGCTGAACATTAGGGACCCTCAATACATAACACGAGTAACAAAGAAAATATAAATGGTTAACAAAGAAATTAAAATGATAGAATAATAATAAAAACCAAATAACGAAGAAAAAAACAGAGGGGGTGGTGGAGAGAGAGAGAGAGACAGACAGAGGGGAAAAAATAACTAAACCATGGAAAGAGAGAGGTAACTTTTGAGGTAAGATTTAAAGGATGAGATGCTTGTAGAATTTCTGACTTTTAAAAGGAGTGAGTTAAAAAGCAAGGGGACATTGAAGCTGAAACAAAGTTTAAACAATTCTAAGTAGAGCCTAGGAATAAGATCTCCTAAACAAGAACTGCTTATAAAAATACAAACTAACAACAGAAGAATAGAAAAGCTGAAAACAAAAAAAAACCAAAGATGCATCCAAATATAATATATACTGTAAACTTATCAATATTATGTTGAAAATCCTGTTAAAAATTGTAAGAGTGGTGGTACTATTTTTTAATTTACGGTATACAACTCCACTCCTTAATCTTCATAATGACACTTGGTTTATGTAGTAGTTTTATGTAAATGATTATTACATATTATGTACGAAAGCGATTACTTTAGCTATTGTCAATCCTTGGCAAACGTGCCTAATGAATATCATAACATGACCTGTATCATATTTTTTATCCGGAGACTATATAAACATATTCCAAATGAAGCTTCCAAAATGATTAAAAAAAATTAGTAGTCCTTTCTTTCATATTGCTGTGTTCTAAGTTTGAGTTGTAGGAAAAACTACTCAGAATCAATTTAAATATTTCCTTCATACACATTTAAATTTATGAATATGTTTTATAAAGGATTTAAAGCCATCACTTAACAAAACATATTCCAAAAAAGCAAAACTGTTTATCTAATGTGAGCTTCTAATTACTCAGTAGCATGAATCAATCATTTCAATGATGATTAATATTAATGCAGTTAATTTATTTGTTTATATTTATTTGTTTTTGTTTTGTTTTGTATTTTTGCATTTTTTTTAAACATTAGGGTCAGGGTGAGACAAGTTTCACTTCTAATCTTGATCCCAATGATGGTCGCTATTATTTTTATTTTATTTCAGTTCTGTTTACTTACCGTATGTATAATTTATGTATTGTATGTTGACCACTATGTATAAATGTACTTTTGAACTTGAACTTGAACAGTAGTGCCATTCACATAGAACTTTGAGCAAGTTGGTGAACAAGTTGAATCTTGTGCTAAGTTTGAATTTGAACCATTCAAATTTAGCAAGATATCGGTTATTGACTCACTACTGGACATCAAATAGAGACTACTTAATTCAGATATAAGCAAGTTGACAACAACGCTAATTAAGAAAATGTAATTTGGTCACAAATAAATCTATCTGGTTGATGCTGTTTGACCTCTTTTAGCATTTATTCTCCATTAGTGTGTATATTTACTATCTATTTTCGAGTACTGAAAGTTGAAGCTGCTGTTGGCCAACAATAACTATCGGTATAAAAACGTTTTCATCCAGTTGTTCATTTGCAGCATTCATTTGTAATAAAACTTGAAAAATCATGGACAGAATCATTAAGGAACCATGACTCATTATGCAGGACACTAGCGCTACAATCACTATCTTGGTTCAATTAAAAAGGAAGTTAGGCACATCATCAATAAAAGTCAAAATTTATCTGATATGAACACTTGTAACAGTGGCACACAAAATTATGATGGGATATCATTAAAAAATAGAACAGTATCAAAACATTTAGGGTATGAAAAAGTGTCAAAAACATTGAGTAAACAGAAACCAGACTCATTTTCCACAATTTTATTCAAATTCCTGTTTGGATATGTCTCACTTGAGCACACCTTAACTTGGTAACGAAGTAAAATTTATTGATTAAATAAATATACTAATTGTCTATTGAACATATAAATAGTAAATTATTTTATCATCATTTATTCATTTCATGATTAAGCTAACTTTCTCTAGTTTTATATAAATGTAGGAGTTAATCAGGTAAATGTTTGTAATCTCATTGTTACCTATACTTTGGTTGTTTTATGTTTTAGTTCACTTGATCTTGAGAATGTGTCCATGATGGAGCTGAAATGTCAATCCTTTTGAAAGTTAGTTTTTTGTATTACATAAAGTGGTGTTAATTGATTTATTTATATTTTTATACACAGTATGATGTGATGTCAGGACCAATAGAAACAGAACACAAAGAAGGTTGTTATTATTTAATCAATATTCGATGAAAAATACATAGTTGAATATTTTATTAATATTTTTATCATATTTGTAACCATAAAGATAACAAGCCATATTTGCTATTGTTACAACATTTTAAAGTAAGATAACCATAGACTAACTTTATTAATTTAAAAATATAATCTCTATGATTATCCAAAGAAAATTGTCCATTACACTGTTGCCATCATAGTTATATTATTACTTCCAAAGTGTTATCCTTATAGTATATTTTATATAAAATCATCTTGTTACCAACCTTTGATAGTATTATTTAATCAGTATCATTCTAATGTTAGGGTCTCTTGTTGAAATGTTGATAATTGTGATTGACATGGATAAACTTATAATTGTCTGACTATTATTTTAAATACTGTTGCCTTCACATGATCACATGTTTATGTGATCATTACTTTCAAAGTATTATTCTCATTACATTGTTACTGAACTTTGCTAATATTTTAAATTGTTTAATCAGTATCAAGCCGAGCACTTCCATCTGAAATTCAGGAAAGAGTTGTTGATAGAATTACTGGAAAGACCTCACAGACCATTGATAATAAAGATATGACTTACATCTGGGACTTTGCTGGCCAGCAGCTATACTACATCACACATCGAGTAAGTACTTATAACATTCTTTTTGTTATGCAATCGACACGATCCAGGGTGAAGATTCCTATTATAGGCCACAAGATTCCTCCTACAACACTGCTGCATTTTGACAAAGTCAACCATTTGGATGGAATGTGATTTCTGAAAAAGATTACAAAAGTTCAATAGAAAAAGATAAATAAATAATCATGAATATAGAAAGTAGTTCTAGTTATTTTAACAGTATTTTTATTGAAGTTAACTCCCTTGCCGCTTATACACAATTGGTCAATCGAATCGTTATTTCAATAATTAAAAGATAATCTAGATCATCAATACCTTGCTGCTAATAAACTTTCACTTAATCACAAAAAGTGTAGCTTAATCCTGTTTGGAACTTCACAATTGTTTAGAGGTATTGACGTCTCTACCCATAAAATTCTTATTGACAGCCATGAAATTCCATCTGTCCAACTGCAAAATTCTTAGGAATTACCATCGACAATAGCCCTACATGGAAAAACCACATACAGGAAATTGAGAATAAAGTCTCCAAAGCCTTGGTATCATATCCAGATTATCTTCATTTTTACCCCTTAGTATTTTCAAAACCCTTTATTGTTCTCTCATCCTTCCTTATTTGAGCTACTCTTATATTGTATGGGCCAACACGTATCCAGCCAACAACAATAAACTCAATCATTAGGCCGACCAGCCCTCCTTAAACTAACGTTAGAATACCGCACTTTCGGCGGTAAAGAACAATTAAAACCTCATAAAAAAGGCAACTAATCCGTTTACCTATAATTGAATCCAAGGACCTAATATTTTAAATTGTTTAATCAGTATCAAGCCGAGCACTTCCATCTGAAATTCAGGAAAGAGTTGTTGATAGAATTACTGGAAAGACCTCACAGACCATTGATAATAAAGATATGACTTACATCTGGGACTTTGCTGGCCAGCAGCTGTACTACATCACACATCGAGTAAGTACTTATAACATTCTTTTTGTTATGCAATCGACACGATCCAGGGTGAAGATTCCTATTATAGGCCACAAGATTCCTCCTACAACACTGCTGCATTTTGACAAAGTCAACCATTTGGATGGAATGTGATTTCTAAAAAAGATTACAAAAGTTCAATAGAAAAAGATAAATAAATCATCATGAATATAGAAAGTAGTTCTAGTTATTTTAACAGTATTTTTATTGAAGTTAACTCCCTTGCCGCTTATACACAATTGGTCAATCGAATCGTTATTTTCAATAAATAAAAGAAAATCTAGATCATCAATACCTTGCAGCTAATAAACTTTCACTTAATCACAAAAAGTGTAGCTTCATCCTGTTTGGAACTTCACAATTGTTTAGAGGTATTGACGTCTCTACCCATAAAATTCTTATTGACAGCCATGAAATTCCATCTGTCCAATCTGCAAAATTCTTAGGAATTACCATCGACAATAGCCCTACATGGAAAAACCACATGCAGGAAATTGAGAATAAAGTCTCCAAAGCTTTGGTATCATATCCAGATTATCTTCATTTTTACCCCTTAGTATTTCCAAAACCCTTTATTGTTCTCTCATCCTTCCTTATTTGAGCTACTCTAATATTGTATGGGCCAACACGTATCCAGCCAACAACAATAAACTCAATCATTAGGCCGACCAGCCCTCCTTAAACTAAACGTTAGAATACCGCACTTTCGGCGGTAAAGAACAATTAAAACCTCATAAAAAAAGCAACTAATCCGTTTACCTATACTTGAATCCAAGGACACCAGTGTTAAACACTCAGTACTTATCCTTGATAATGTGTTAATCCATAATATATTGAGATAATGTAACGTTAGTTTAGCGAGGGCGGGTTGAGCTAATGTATTCTACAAAAGAAAGCTGTAAGGATTATATCTGGCACTCCTCCACGGTCGCATTCCTCCCATTTATTTTTCAAGCTAAATCTCCTAAAACTCACAGATATTAATTTATTTCAACAAGGTTTGTTTGTATTCTCTGCCACTCACTCCATTCTTCCAAATCATTTAAATGCCATGTTTGTTCCTAACCACTCCGTTCACAAATACCTCACTCGAACCAGAACTACAGTATTATTCATATTCCCATTCACAACACAATTCTCAATCTTTTAGGGAATATGCCTTCGTCCATACATTTTAATTTTAATTAAAAAAATTCTGTACTTGGCCCTTATTTTATCTTTAAATTTGTTCTTATATAATAATTCACATTGTATATACTTTGTGCTCTCTCTTTCATTGTTGTTTTATTTATGGACGAAAATAAATGTCTTTTGAATTGAATTGAAAACTGTTGAATAGTTGTTAACATTTTATCAATTATCACATTTTACATTTTTTTTTAGATATTCTTAACAAGTGAAGCAGTGTATGTGATTTTGTTCAATTTGCTGGAAAGTATGTACGACAAAGGAAAGAAAAGAGTCTATAAGGGGGTAAATAGGTCAATTCTTATAATTTTAATGAAATTATTCCAAAAAAAAACCCTATTTTTTTGTGGTTTTAATGAAATTGATAAGGAAAATATTAAATAATTTTAATGAATTGTATATTTTGTATGATGATTGCATTATATATCCATTAATAATCCATTTGCTGTATAATATATAAAATAATAATATATATTTGATAACTATAAAATTTAATATCTTTTTTATAAAATTGTAAATACTGCTTTTATAATAATAATAATAATAAGGTAAGAACATATATAGCGCCATTTAAAAAACCGAGGTAATTATCAGTGGCGCTTCATGTTATTGTTGGAATAAGTGCGTTGTAGATTAGTTATTTCCTAATTATTTACTGTAGGCTTACACTTTTGATTGTATTGTATTATGCTTGTTTCGTGTCTGTTTTCTGTTTGGTAGGAAAACTCAAGAAATGTTCAACTTTTGTTGCATTTTGAGTGTTTTATACCGAATAAATAAAAAAAATCAATAAAAAAAATCATATATATGCTGCCTAATAAAATTGTTGAGTGCTGTATGTTATCTATTCTTGACAAATATTTGTAATTTTCTTTTCTGTTCAGGACAAAAATGTGATGACATACGATATGACAAATATACAGATCATCAAATACTGGATGAGGATGATATTTACGTACGCTGTCCCAGTTGAGTCCCAACAGCAGCAGCTACAAGCCAAGAAACCTCAAATTGTGGTGGTTGGTACTCACAGCGAGAGCCTACAAGGAACCGATGATGAAAAGAAGGAGAAGGTAAAATGTAATCTGAACTTATTACATGATTGATTAGTAACATGTGAACAATGTGTGATGCGTGTCTATATTTATTCAGATTGAAGAACAATTTGGAATAATATTTGAAGCAATCAAAGGCACTCCGTACGAATGTCACGTGGTGAGGAAAATATATGCCATTGACAACAAATCTCAAATCCAAAGTGAGATGCTGATAACACTTAAACAAGATGTTGGTGGATTTCTGAAAGCAATGCCCAAAACCATCCCACTCAAATGGCTTGAATTCCAGCGTATATTGCAGGAGAATGGTAGGACAGCAGTGCGCATGACGCATGATGAGGTACGCTTTTATTATGTTGCTGTATATCAATTTATTGAAAAAATTGAATACGATGTCAGATCGAGACAAAGCCCACAGATAGATAAAACACATGAGAAGAGCAAGTATGCCTGATGACAAAGGGATACTCAGGCAAAGAACAATAACGTACAGGTCATGACTTTTATAAAGGATGAAAAGAAATGTTTTAATATTCACACCCTCACCACATACAATTTAATAGCATGCGTTTCCCACTACCTTTTATCATTAAGCATGAAATACACAAGCACTTGAATTTACAAATTCACTCCTCCCTGCTATTGGCATATATCTGGTTAATTTACTTTGATTTTTATGTGAGTTACATGAAATTCTTTTTCCAAGGTTCAACATATGGTGCATATAAATACACTTAAATATAAAAAATAGTGAAAATGTGTTGAAATAAAAGATACCATTGATTAGTTAATATAGACAATATATATAATAATATAATGTACGGTACATATATAGAATCTTAATACACTTGTTGATTGCAACTATCTTTTATGACTTGCATTGTTCAATCGGATTGCAAGAGAAAGAAATGTGTTGTTGTACTAGAAGTTTTCTTTAGGCCAACAAAATCAATTCTTTGTCTCACATCACTCTTGACTTCAAAAATTCAATGCGGAATGAGATTTAAAAAAACAATTTTTTTTTTGTCTCGCGTCACTTGTGGCTTCAAAAATTCAATGCGAAATGAGTCTTTTTTTTTTTACGCTACCAAATTCTAAAAGAAGTATTTGAATAAAATAGTGGCCTTGGTAATGTACCAAAAAAGCCACGACTTAGTATACAGGGGTGTATCCAGGATTAGGATCCATGTAAGTGTTCAACAAAGGCAAACAGTTGAAAAAAATATGCTGATTTTTGCATAGCCATAGCTTGTATCTTTGTATTATATTATTCCTGATGATGCTTATAAAAGCGAAACAATGAATAATATGGCCTTTTGGAGTGACATTCATATTATCAGTATGACTATGTTTTTGTATACACACACATGGTACTTGCCCTCCCTTAACATCCACTAGATGCACCCCTGTATGCACCTCGGATATAATCTCACCCCTGCTGTACGCCCGAATTCAAGAATTTCCACAGGCAAAGTCCCAGGGTATAATTTGGGTGAGTAGGCCTAGCTAGAACTAGGCCTAACTCGGTAAATTTAACAAATGCTGACAAAAGATAAAGGAATTGGTTCTGAATTCGGCCGACTTGAAGCTCTTCCAATTGATTAAACAAGATTGGTCGCCATAATGTTGAATACTGATCGGAGCGTTGATTCACAGAGTGAAGACTCGCATGTTCCACAGAGAGATAGACACCGCTTGCGTTATTGAGATTTATTGATAGACTCGCACAACAGTCATTTTCAACAACAAAAAATCAGAAAAAAAAAATGAAAATTTGAATATTCAATGTGCAAATTTTAACAATAATTTGTTTTTTTCTTGTGTGCGACGTGAGACAAAGAAATAATTTTGTTTGGCCTTAATGATGGAATAATGCATCCTGACTTACTGTAGTTAATATATTAACTTATAGTGTAAATTGTCATCTATTAATATACATTTAAATTTATTTTTTTTAATAGATGTTTATACTTTCTACATTTTTATATATTTAGGTCTGTGCAGTTGCCACTAAATGCGGAATTTCTGTAAAGAATCTGATCCACACCCTAAACTACTTACATGATCTAGGAATCATTCTGTACTTTGAGAACAACAGACTACTGAAACATACGGTGATAACAAACCCACGAAAGCTGATCGACATCTTCAAGAAGATTATCACTGTAGTGGAACCCCATGACAGCGAAAAGGTCAGTTAATAACTTAAGCTCTCTCATCGGACAAGTCAAGCAACCCCCACCTGCCGAGCTCATCGGGCAGTCGAACAAAAAAAAAAAAATTAAAAATAGGCCTAAACCAAGCCAAAACATGCCTTTCACAGTCTTAGAGTGTCATTTCCGGCCATCCAGAGGTCCCTATTTTTAAAAAAGTCTCATTGTTAATAAATTAAATTGTCTGTCAGCAACGATGCAGACAAAATGTCTCCACCTGAATCACTTGCCAGATTTTTCAAATTTCTTGCATGTATTTGCAAGCCCGTATGCGGGGGGGGGGGGTTGTGGTGATCAACTCTCAATCAATGCTGTAGCCAAGATTTTCAAACATTGCGGGACAATCAGGGTGCACCCACTTTACACGTAAATTCAAAATAAAGTGGACCTAGTTTCTTAAAAGTTGACCCATTTTATGCAAAAAATATTACAAATCTGGACCCATTTTCTTAAAATTTTACCAATTTAGGCTAAATAATAGAAATTTGTACCCATTTCTCATGAAGTGGACTCATTTTATGCATGAAATTGCATAATTTGGACCCATTTTTAAAATTTGGACCTATTAGAAAAGTTGTGTGGACTGTCCAAACTGTCCCAATAGCTGGCTACTATTGCTCTCAATCTGTAAAATCCTTCACTTCCCCCCACCCCCCTTCTATATAAAATTCCTAAATCCGCCACTGACAGTACTTCCTTCATCTATGAAGTCCCTCCCTGGCCTCTCAACAAATGCCTAGATCCACCACTAAAACCGTATGCATCTTCAGAAATCGATTAAATATGACCTCAGATTATCAAAAATGCCAGAGCTCCACCACCTTGATCCCTCGTGAAAACGGGGCTAAAATCTGGTTATAAAACTTGCTTTTTTCCCTTAAATCCCACTTTTTGCACGACGCAACATCAAGATATGATCTTTCCAATATATAAAGTACCCACGGTTTGAGTTTCGTTGAGGTAGGATCTTATACCATGGTTAAGGTGATTTTTGACTGGACTAGTACGATAATAAGTCAAGTAGGGCAAAACGTAATTTGATTAAATCTCTCAAAAAGCATTGCAGTACCCGCTGACTTGCAGATCTGATTCAGCAGTAGTCACTAAGCACAAGCTTAGTGTTCTAGTGGATGACGCCATGCTATTATCTGGAGGTCGTGGGTTCGATTCCAACACGAATAACTGGAGACATTTTTTGCAAGTATTTGGGAATGTATTGAGCAATCAGTATAGTAGCACATTAGGTAGGCCAAGACATTGTGATTAAATTTCCAGACGCAAAACATCATTGAAACACAATGTGATTAATTACATGTTCAAATGATTTCAGTGGGCTACAATGATTGAGCTATGGAATAAACTTGATGAAGAAGGAATTCTTGAGGAAGAGTTAGTCAGACATCTTTGGAGAGATGAGCTTGCCAAAGATGAATCTAGCTTTGAAGTCTTCTTGGAGTTAATGAAGCAGTTTGGACTGCTCTGTGAGCAGATCAAGGTATTGCTTTTTTTCTTTTCTTTTTTTTTTTTTGTTGACAAATACTTGGAGAGTTCAGATAGTCACTAGCCATCCAGCTAGTTAATGATAAGTTGACCTGCTCCTTAACTAACTTAAAATATACAGTGCAATCAATCCTAATAAGAATCTATTAAAAAATAAATGTGGCAAAGACAAGCCAAACCAGTCACTGGTCACAAAAATTGATTTTGAGTTATTAATAAGGTGTTAGATTAAAGTAAGAGCTCAAAAATTGTAAAAAATAATTTAAATTCGACATTTCCTTATAAAGTTACAAGCATTTAAACATACAGCTGTTTAAAGAACAATATTTGAGAAATCAGCCTTCAAAGTCTATAATTTTGGACATTTCTCATGCAGAAACTGTCATAAAATCCTTAAAAAGTGTTGTTTTAACATTTAAAATGTGGAAAATAACAGCATAGAATGATGTGTACATGTAGATATATAAAGGTTAGTTTAGTGCAATAAAATAGATTTTTTTAAAATTTGACATTCCAGCATGTTTTGGCCATTTTCCCTGAAACACAATTTTCCGCTGAGTGACTGGACTGGCTTGTCTTAGCCACAAATAGAGAATTTTTTTTAAGTCAAAGTAATGGTGACTTATTCCATCTTTTCATTGTAAAATGAAATTCATCAAATTATTTTTGAAAAAAAAAGAGTTTAAATTATTTTAAGAGTGTAAATCGTACTCTACCTTACATGCCATTTACATTGAAAAACATTTGATTATTTAAAAAAGCTAGTAACATAATAACATAATTGTTCTGTTATTTTTCTACCTTTTTATTGAATTCAGTTTTTTTCTCTCAAGGACCAGGAAAGCAAATGTCGCTCGTTTTTTGTACCCTGTCGATTGAAACGTAGCAAAGACGATGTGTTTATTGAACATGATACAGCTCAGATGGTATCTATTTATATGGCCTCCGAGGATTTCATCCCTGATAGTGTCTTCCATCCTCTAGTTGTGAGCTTGATTGGAATGGTACAAGACATGGGCTACACAGCCATGCTAGAATTATTTAGCAACTATGCTAACATCCGCTTAGGACTTGAACACACTTTCAGCTTAGGACCAGTAGTCATTAATAACAAGCCCTCATTAAAGGTAAGAGGATAAGTGATGTCATTTATTTACTATTGGAGTGATAGGTAATGAAATTCAAAATAGAAAATCAAAGTCAATCACAACATAGATATGAGTTATTTTCATTGTACATTCTTTTATGGTTTTTTTTTAAATTGTTGTATTGTATGAATTACAACATTTTTTTAAAGTAACACCTGAGAGATAAGCAAATAAGGGATAATGCTCTTGCTTTATTCCTACAATAGGAGTATTAAGGAGAGTAATAGATACAAGGCACATGGCCAAAACACTGCCCACAAAAAAAAAATAATAAAAAATAAAAAGAGGTACTCTGAAACAGCTATTTTCCTATTTAAATTCCATGTACCATGGTCAAGCATATCTAAACAAAAATCTCAAACACACCATCCCAACTTCTTTCCCTGCTGAGTGCTTTGCATCTTGCATGGCCCTACACAGACTCAGATTCAGATATTTATTACTTCAAAATGTCAATGCATCATGATAATTGATTTCCACAGTTCAAAAATACAAATAAGACTTAATTATATATCTACTAAATACTTGGACTTTCTGTGGATCTACCCATGATTTACAATAAAATTGGCAAGTAGCTTGCAATTGAATTACATTAAATGTAAATAAAAGATTGGATTGTTCACTTAATATATACACTGTAGTATATATAGTATATATTGTATAAATATATTTTCTGGCATGCATGATTGAATTATTAATTGATTTTATGTTTGTCTTTTAGCTGGAAATATTACGGGTGCCTATCACTCAGGAAGATGGTACCAAGACACCAACAGGTGAACCCAGTCCTAGAGTCTGTATGCAGGTAATCTAGTTTGATATTTGAAATCTTGCAATTGAAATAGCAGCTGTAAAGTTACTCACATCAATGGTGATGTTCCTTATTAGTGATATTACCTAGAGATCATAGACATATTAGATAGATTTATTATCCATTTGTATTTATACCAAATAAATAAAAAAATTAAAAAAATAGATTTATCTTGGTATGGGTGTATGAGAGATATTCTTACTACTGTCCTTGTGTGAATATACTATAGATATAAGTACAATCCAAATCCATTAAAATAATTGTATTTGTTATCAATTTTTAATTTGCATGCTTTTTTATGATCTGAACTTTATTTAATGAGAATGGCCTTTGGAGCTCACCATTAATCATTAATTGGACTTATAATTTTAAGTAATAATAATAATTTTTATTATAAAGTAAAAAATTCCGCTAAATATGACAAAAATGACGGTAATGATATAAATAACAATAATTCTGTTGTCATAAACAATAGCACTATTGTATCATCATCAAATCAATTAAACCATATATGGTTCAAAACCTGAAACCATATTAAAGTGTTTTTGGAGGTGCGTTTCTAATATGGCATTATTTTTTCTCAAAATTTTGTTTGAAAAATTCTAGATCCATCCCTGTGTATTGTCTGTTAAATTGTTGTATTTTATAATTGGGCATATCAAGTCAATTAAATCATCTAACAATTTAAACTGTGAAACCAATGCTTCTCTTATATTACATACAATTTTTTTTCTTAATATTTTTTGTAATGTTGTAAATTTAAAATTTTAAAATCCACATTCAAGGTGTTAGAGTTTCTGAAGAAAGAGATGAAAGTGCTGACATCTGGAATGAAGCACACAGGTTATAAGTTCCGTGTCCTGTGCTGGACAAGCTTGCGAGAAATGCACTTCCACGATTTGGAGGAGTGCCTGGAAAATGAGTGTATTCCATGCGGGAAGGATTCGATAACCACAGGCAAACTTCAGAGGATGTTCAAGAATAAGCAACTAGTGACAGGTAAATAACAATAAAATTTTGCTATACCTCATAAAAATGTTAATTAGGTAGTACAGGTTTACGACATTCCATTGATCAATTTCACTCGGTACGTGGTGCAGTAGCTTGGACTATAATTATACAGGTGGATGGTAAATAGCCAAACCAGTAGCTTTTTCTTCTGTGTGTGTGGAGGGGAGTTCATTAATGAGAATAACAAGACAAGACAAGACAAGACAAGATTTCTGTACCCCACATCATATAATCTTATGTCATGACCCCCTCCCTTTTCTCCCTCTTGCAAATATCTGGACCTGCTTTTTGGGAGTATGGCTAATATGAATGAACAGTTACAACATAGTGTTTATTTAAGTAAAGCAGTGAATTCTACTTCCCTTATTTTAGGATGATTGGGACTACATTCCTCCGCTTCATGTTGGAAGATGGTCCAAATAATTGGGACGACATTCATCAGCTTCATGTTGGGAGGTGGTCCAAATTATTGGGACACATTTATCAGCCTCATGTTGGGAGGTGGTACAAATCTTTGGGACTACATTCATCAGCTTCATGTTGGGAGGTGGTTCAAATCATTGGGACTACATTCCTCCGCTGCATGTTGGGAAGTTGTTCAAATCATTCCACACCTCGGCAAATAGAATGCACTTCTTTTCCCCAAACCATGTTGTATTGTATAATATGCCACTTAAATTGCAACATACCTTATTGTATTTCTTCAACCAAATGAAAAAAATAAACTACAAAATTTACTTGAAAATAAGCTTGAATTTTATATTAATCTCAGCATTTAATTGTTGTATATCAAATTTGTAATATATATGTTATTCAATTTTAACTTGCCTATTGTGTCTGATGTCCTTTACTGTCATATTATGTTTTTCTAATTACTCTTTGGAAATCAGTGTTTTAGTATTCAAAGTTTTATCCAGAAATGAAGGGATAAAATGGTCAGAGGGCCAAAGTAAATTTTTGATTAACAACATTCATGTACTGCTTTATGCTCAGTTTTGATTTGATTTATTTGAAATCAAAAACAAACATAACATAAACTAAGAGGCAGAGTTTATATGCTTTATATCCAAAAGCATCCCATTTTATTATTAGTCTTACAGACAATCAGCTTGATACCAACAGTGGGTTTTCTAGCTAAAGATGGTTCGCTATATATACAGATTTGTTTTTAAATATTTTTTTCCGAGATGACAACAAAATTGTTGTTGGTTTACTGCATGTCCACCTGTGATTTAGAATAAATTCACCATTAAAACTTTATATAAATTGATTTTGTCCTGATCTAAATTTAATGTGATAGACAGCAATCAATTTTAGTCACTTGATTCTGTTTTCTTTTTTTAACAACTTATTTATTTGTAGGCTCTCAAATGCAAGGAGCAGGATCAAGTGATACTGAAACAGCACCACCAGGTTAGATGTTATTACTATTTTGTGTCTCATGAAATTATCTGTTTTTAATGAGCAGTATGTAAATGCTTGGATGTTTTTATTATTATTATTGTATCGTGCTGCATTTTTGGCCGTTAAACAGAACTGGTCCATGGCACCCGGCTTTTGGAAAAACCCGGGTTATAAATCCTGCTTGTTTGTTGAATAGCGATGGGTTCTTAAATTATTTATTGCCACTGAAGCCCATGAGTGAAGTGAGTGATTATAATGGGTTTCTTGTTTACATTCCAATGGCTATATGTTGCTGGCCAGGACTCTCTTGTTAACTCCCAATGGACATTCTTAAAACCAATTAAAGTTAAGTTTATGGAGCTGCTAACAGCTCCCTCTGGACCATTTGACAACTCACTCTCAACTATCAGATAGCTCACTATGGACCATTTCTGCTAACAGGGACTTTTGCCTCATGTTATTATTATTATTATTATTATTATTATTATTATTATTATTATTATTATTATTATTATTATTATTACAGTATTATTTTTATTATTTTTACATTACATATAGTATTTTTACATTATGTTTTTTTTTAAATCAAAGTTACTGTATTTTATTGTATAGCCTACTTCAATTTTCACTTCAGATGAACATCTTGGTTATCTGGAAGACAAGCACCTGCTTCATATCGCCATGGGCATGGGAATAGAGTGGAAACAACTGGGTGTCAGACTGGGTCTCAGTTGGAACAGGATTCAACAAATATGTAGTGATAAGAGACGATTGCCAGGGAGAATAATGGATATGCTTACAGAATGGAGGAATCATCAGAATTACGAGACAAATCAAGTTGAGATAATGTGCAGAGCATTGAAGGAACAAGGACTCACAGAGCTTGCTAACAATGTTTTTGGCTCGCAAACCTCAACAAAAGTACATACTAGACGACAGTTACATCAGAGACACCAGAAATATGATGGTAGGTGATTTATTCTTGAAATTGCAGTCCATCAGAGCAGATTGTTTGATGTTCCTTTCTTCTACTTTTTTAAATAAAAAAGTAAGGATCAATAAAAAAAAGTAACAATAAATAAAAAAGTAAGGATGAAATACTATGGGAGGTATATTATATTTTTTTGTAAGTGTTTCTCAAAAGAATGATACAACGATACAAAATCCTCAACACTTCTTCAAATGCTTACTTCATCATCATCTTTTTGCTGTATTCCACATGGCACATTCTACAAACTCTACCAGGCTGGACTAGGGACTGTAAAGTCTGTAATGTTCTTGACAGTGGTGGGTCCAGGAATATTTGAAATAGAGGGTCCCAGAGAGGGACTTTCAAAGATGGAGAGTGTAGACCACCTCAGCCCCACCATGGTTGGAACTGAGGTAAAAGAATTTATAATTATGGCACGTCTAGATGACTGGCATGGCACTCTCAAGATCTAAACTTGATTACAATTTGGCCTTTTTTCCTCCATTTTTTAAATAACTTGCTGAGGCCCACACCACCATCTCCCATTTGAATCTACCACTACTTAAAGCATGTTTCAATATTGATGTCTTTCCTCTTTGTTTAGGACACTTAGCAGACATTGATATGCTATTTATTGCCCAAAGACTTGGCAAGGACTGGAAATCCTTTGGCAGCATCATTGGTCTGAAAAAAAATGAAATAGAAAGAATTGAGATGGACTTTTCACCACCCATTGTGGACTCAAGTCTGGAAATGTTGGTTAAATGGAGAGAAAGGCAAAACTTTGAAGTAAATCACCTTGTAAAGATGAGTTATCCATTGAAAAAACTTGGAAAGAAGGCTGTCGCTAAAGAACTTCGGAAGTACTACCAGGAAACTCATCAAAAATAATTCAAGAACATTTGTAGGTACACATTAGTACCAGAACTTTAAAGGACAATTACACACTGATTATGCCAGGGGGGCTAGTTGCTAAAGAAGGCTGTCGCTAAAGAACTTCGGAAGTACTACCAGGAAACTTACCAAAACTAATGAAAGAACATAAGTACGCATTGGTAGCGAAAATTTTAAAGAACAATTACACACTGATTAGGCCAAGGGCTAGTTTCTCCAATCCCTTCACTTAGAGCAGGGCCCCACCACTGCAATACGTTTAATACCACAGTGTATCATAGTTCAAATAATGACACCAGAAGATTTGATATGATAAAGAGGAAGTAAATGATAATATAGTGCAGAATATACATGATTTAGTATTGTACATTTGGTAAATATAACGGTATTATGCAAATATATATTCTATTCTTCTTTAGCATTTTATCAAGTTGCTTTACATGAATTATATGGTATTTTGTTTTTATATCACAATAATTATGCATTTATCATACAATGCAATTACGCATATTAGTAACACTTTCTCATTTCATATATATATACACAATATATATATATATATATATATATACTGTATAATAGTATATTTTGTAAGCTTGTAAAATTTAAATAACCTACTTTTGATACTGAAATGCCAATTTTTTTTATAAGATTTATAAAATTAATTTAAAATGTCATATCTTTAAAAGAATTAAGAAAAATACTTTTATTTGATTGAAATGGTTTGATTACATGTTTGAGGGCATTTTGAGGACAAAATAGATCCACAAAGTTGTAATTACTGCATAGTACTTTTTTTTTTATATATTAAGATTAGTTCAAAGCCTAATTTTTGGCAAAATCTGCAAGGAAATCAGCCCTTATTTTCTGAAATGCGAGGATGGATTTCCAGGCAAAAATTTTATATGGAGAATATATTCTACACACAGCCTTACTTTACAATCTGCTGGAGTGGGATAAAGATGGTGGACAGTGCTACATATCTGGATTCCTGCATAATTAAAATAAAATGGCCCAAATCATTCCAGTATAGGATGCAGTTTTTTAAATATGAAATCTAAGCTTTCACAAAAAAAGAAAAACATAGAAGGCTACATAATGGCAGGATTGAGATTGATGTATATGCACCTCCCCAGGGCACCTCCTAAATTGAAAATGATCCATATTTTTAAGACAGTCGAAATGTATCGAGTAAATAATCTATCCGTATCCGCCCAACACTGCTTAAGCTGCGGTCCAACCATCTCTTTCCCTTGACGCTGTCAGTGACTCTAAGCGATACCCATACCCAACTTGGCCCATTTTTGGCAATCCTGGCTATGGCCTGGAATGGTCTAATCCTCATCCCTTATTCAATTAATTAATTTAAAGAATTAAAGGCTTCTTTAAATTGTGCTTCATGATTGTTTTGTAAAAGACATTATTCAAATTTATTAACATTAATGATTTTTTTTCCCATCCAATTGTAGTAATTAGGTTTTATTTTTGCAATATACAAGTTTCTAAAAAAAATTGAAATTGATTGATTGATAAATGAATGATTTTTATTGTGCTGTATGCGTTGGCGTTTGTTTCATGCCCGGTTAGTTAGGCTAGCAGGGATTGTACCACTGGGGCCAGGAAGCATAAAGGATGATTCGTTGCGGAGAAATTGTATTGTTCAACTGTTAAATATGATTAAATAAGGTTTTCAAATCCATAGTCTTAGCTTCTAGGGATTTGGCAGGATTTTTGTTTCCCCACCCCTGACGGAGCCACACCCCCACCAATTTAGGCTTTCTTCACGCCCCCATCAGATCTCCTGTCGGCTTCAAACCCACGTCAATATCCTAGATGTTTGACTATAGCACAGAGAACTAGTTTAAGTTACAAGAATGATGGCCAGTGATGATGTTGACAATTACAATGATAATGATGGTGATTATGGAGTGCCGTTGGTAATGGATGTGGCGGCGTTTGTTTTTATTTATTGCTCATAACAGACAATCATTTCACAATAAAAACTGCATTTAAAAAAATAAAAACAGGAAAAATTTACGTAAAAAATAAAACCATTCAAACAGACAAAAGGAAACATCAAAATGGTAAAAAGAAATTAGACAGTTCACAAAACAAAGAGAAAAACAAATGCACAGTTTTAAAAATAAAAAAAAAACGAAGAAAAAAGTCGCCAATCAGACAAGGAATCAAATCAAAAACGAAAAATAATAAGAAGAAAACTGAGCGTTGGATGACCCTTTAAAATAAGATAACTGATACGTACGAGAGAGCGTTGGATGACCCTTTAAAGTAAGATAACTGATACGTCAGAGAGAGCGTTGGATGACCCTTTAAAATAAGTTAACTGATACGTCAGAGAGAGCGTTGGATGACCCTTTAAACACACACACACACATATTTGACGAAAAACTCACGGGAGCTGAAATGAGACATATTTTGGAATATTTCAAAAATGGGGAAAAAAGTTTTAAAAGCGTTGGTTACGCCCCTTTATGTAATATTAAAAATCTGTACTCAATCATTCATTCAAATTTATACAATACAAAAAATAAATCAAGCAAATACACAGGAGGTTAAAAAGATGATTTCTCTTATTACGCTAATTAACCTCCTTAACAATAGTACAAAATATGTGAAACATAACATTCATAGGAAATAATAATAATAATAATAATAATAATAATAATAATAATATTAATAATGATAATAACAATAATAACAGGCCTAATAATAGTTAAAATGGTTAGTCTTAGTCTTAAATTTAAGTTCATTCAATCAATAAATCAATCACCAATCAAAGTAACATTTATTTTCTTCGAAATGAGAAAAAAACAAAAACAAAAAGGTACAATGTAAAATGAAGAAGGCATAGCCAAAAAATAACAGCTTGTAGCAGGCATAACTGGACAAAAGACAAAATCAAATAAATAAATAAATGGAAGAGTAAATAAAAAGAAATTTAAAAAGTAATAAAAAGTAGAAAGTTAATTGAATAAGATAAAAAATCTTTCAGCAGTATACAATATTCAGCAATAGTAAATGTTTTTTTTAGCATTGTATTGTTTTCTTTAACTAATTTTGCGAATATCGAGAGAAGCTAATTCCAAGGTAGCCCCCTTCATAACCTATTCTTAAATTTCCTAACATGGTACGTAGCTTTGATATAGCTAATTTAAACATTATTTTTAGATTTTGTATTATGTAAATTTTTACAGTTGAAAAATAACAACTTAGAGTGTGAGTTGTTCGGTTGTAAAAAATATCAGAAATAAATTTAAGAGCATAAAGAAATTTTAAGTTTATGAAATAGATGGGGTAAATATGCTCTAAAAAACTGAAAAGCTGTACATCTAGCTATAATTCTTTGGGAATTCAAGATAGGAGTTCGGTATGACACAAAATTATGTATGTAATGTGTATGTATGTAATTACTTCCCCTTTTACCTCAAATTCCATAAATAATATTTGGATAAATAAAAGAACTATAAAGCATCACTGAAGTTTTCATATTATCAAAATGTCTTAAACTAAACATAATTCCAGCTTTTCCCTGATTTTTTTCATTAATATGTTGAATGTGGGCTTTCCACGTGAGAACGAAAATGCAATGAAATATAGGAACACTCATAAATATAGGAACACTCATAAATATAGGAACCCTCATAAATATAAAAAAAAACTCATAAATATAGGAAGTCAAGTTATCGATAAATACAGATCCAGTGGTTGTGAGTTGTTTACTGTATTTCTTGATTGAGAATGATAACATTTATTTTATCAATTATTATTATTATTATTATTATTATTATTATTATTATTATTATTAACCATATATACTCAGAATAAATATTCAATAAAAGTAAATTTTCAAATAATAAAATTGACAAAGCACTAAAATTGATCTACCATCGTCCTGATTAAAACAACAATTAAATATCAATAAAAGTTAGAATTTTTAAAACAAGGACAAATGAATACAATACTTGAAATTACAATAAAATTCCAACATGGAAAGTGATTCAATTTAAAAATGTCAAAAAGTATGTGTTTTAAAATGTCATTAAGATTGTAAAGTATATTGATAAATCAACATAAATATAAGAACATTCTCACGCTGGTAATAATGTAATTGTGGATTGCCGTAAGTATAGTAATTCAATGTTTAGAATATTGAATGAAATAATGTAGTTATTTGTTTAGATATTTATTTATTTATTTGCTTTACACCAATTGATAACAATGCAAAACTGATCAAATCAAGAATGTAAGGACATTATTTGAGAAACTGTGAAAATTTATTTATGTCATAGGAAAACAAACGAAAATCGAAATTTGGAGAATTTGGCAGATCATTTTGATATAAATTCAAAATAATGTGGGTCCAAGGACTGTGTCTACCGTGTATACCCCACAAATATTAGGTAACTTATCAGATACACAATAATTTAAAGAGACAAATTGCATTCCGATCATAAGGTAATTGGAAATTCAAATTAAATCTTTACCTCTAGCACCATAATGTTCTTGTTATCCTTATTCACAATTTTTCTAGGGGTGGCGCCAGGATTAGCCCAACGGGGAGTCCAATGTCTTCAAGGGCGGGGCAGGCGAGAGCGATATCCCTAACATAAGACAGTCGCGCCTTTTTTGTGAACATTCTGCTAGCTAACAGTTTAATATCGTTATAATTATTGCAAACAATAGGTCGAATTTAGTAGTAGAAAGGTAATTAATAGGCCTGTCTAGAATTGTGGATTGTCATGCATTATATGACCAAGTAGGCTATACACAGAGTTGGTAGTGCTTATATCTTTATTCACGTTTTATTCACCCCGGAACTAGACCCGGTTTGGTGAGATGCCATTAATTAAAGAGAAACAGAAACCGTTAGAAAAACATATTGAAAACAGTTATTCTTAAATATTTTTCATTTAATTTTATTTTTTTTCTCTTTTGTGGGAATCGACCACCTTTATTTCTATTCTTTTCATTTAACAGAATTACAAATAAAATACAAAATAACACTACGGTTACAATTATATTTCGTAGTAATCATCGGGTTGTACAAGATAACGTCATTTCCTAATACTTTATACAATTTTACTTTTTTGTAATTTTGTTCATGTAAAATAGCATAAAAAATCCTATTATACTAGCAGATACACCGATACAAGTTTCTAATGAGCAGCTTACAATTTTTTTTTTTTTTTTTTTTTTTGCCATATGTTTATAATCTTTTTGTTAACCTATCTGATAACATCATACATCAGTTAAGTATATCAGCTATTCATTTTTTTAAATTTAATATATACAACAATAATTAAAACACAAAATATGTGTGTGCCATCCTAATAATAAAATATTATTATACATAGCATATAGCACATCATAATTCTTATACTTTTTTAACCTTGTAAATTTCAATTCACTTACTGAGCAATGAAAATTTTCTTCAAAATATTTTTGTTTCGTTTTTGTAAGTTTTACCATTTTTGTTACACATCATTTTATATTCATAAAGAAATAAACAATAACCTATAAAAAAATTAAGAGTTTGACAGTCTGTTTAATGAACCTATAAAACAGGTTTA